TAGCTTTTTCTTTTAACTTACATAATTATTTGGGTTACTCCTGATTTAATGGCATCATCTTGTGTTAGAAATCTTTTGAATTATTTAGATGATAAGCTAAAGAACATTTCATAATATAATTTCAGATTTAGCTATTTCTTATTAGGCACTTTACATTTAATGAGAAATTGAAAGAATTTGGATGGGTTTTCTTAGTGCCTTCTTTCTGTGAATGACTGCCTTAGCTCTAACACTAGTGCTACTGCTTTTTTCTAACCCCTCTTGTTTCTGCTATACTGTCCTCAGTGTTGTTCTTTCTCTCTGATTCTGAACTGCAATTATCAGCTCTTAGTAATTTGCTGAGATGGACCTACTAGGTTTACTAAATTAACTTCAAAAAATACAGTTAGTTTTGGATCATGTTTAATGCTATCGTAATTCTGTTAACTTAAAAGAAATAAATTTGTTTGACAAAGATAAAGACTACAAGATTTTTATGCCAATTTTCTTATTTTAATAGTTAATTCTGTTAACTTAAAAGAAATAAATTTGTTTGACAAAGATAAAGACTACAAGATTTTTATGCCAATTTTCTTATTTTGGCCTCTCCTAAGAAGTCATGTCTGAAATTATGCCATGCCCATTGGTCTTAGTAACTCAGAGGCTAGGGGAAAAAGATATGTTTTATATTGTACTAATTAACACAAACTAATTTTACAACTGTTAATTTAAAGAATGTAAATCAGGTCCACAAAGATCTGCGGAATTTTATATCCAGAAGAAATCTGAAGGCATGTGATGCTGTCCAGACTCCTTGCTATTTAAAGAGTCAAAAGAAAAACCTATGAGGGGATAGATATGTAATAGATGAAAGGAGAAAAAAAATATTTTAGATATGCACTATTGCAGAAAAATGTACTTTCCTTTATTCATATGGCACTAATTGTGATTCAAGTGGACTAATTAAATCCTAAATTGTGTTTTGCTTGTGTTCTAGCAGTTGTTTTATTTTTCTCTCAGCATGCAACTGTATGCATTTTTTAATGAAGAACAACTTACAGAACAGCATGACTCTCTTGGCATCTGGCTCCAGTCACAATAAACATCACTGATTTGGTCTTACTGATTTCACACAGGTTTGAATGACCAAGTCAATTCTGGACATTGGGAGTGGAATGGAGGAGAACCTGTAACCTACATAAACTGGAGAAGAGGCTCCTACCACTTTCCAGTGAGAGGAAGGAATTGTGTATTTGTGCAGAAGCGAGGAAAATGGCAAGCAACTGACTGCAAGAAGGTCAAACTTAACAGCTATATATGTTCAAGAAAGTTGTAATGGATGGAGGATACCTCTGAAAGCATACAGACATTCATGCTATTTCAGTTTGTTAGCTGTGTTAGAAAACCGTTCAAATTATCAGGAAGGTTTATTTTATATGCTGCCATGCATATAATGCAGATGCAGAGGCCAGGCAAATGCTCTGGCCTCTAACCAAGGTATGGAGATCAGCTGCAAAAAACTAAGCCCAGGTTAAGGTTTTGAAATCTCCGCAAAGAGTCTGATCTCTCACTTACTCATATATATTTTTATACCAAAGAGCCAGGTCTCAAGGCTTTCATCACACTTCTGTGTAAAAGTACTTTTTCTTAAAGGAAGGGTTGTGAACTGCAGTTTTATTCTGCAGTCACAAAAAGAGGAATGTTGCTGGGGTTGGAAATGAGGGTAGACATTGTCTAAAACCAGATCTTTTGGGTGATGATGTGAGTGATGTCATGTAAGCACTGGAATTTCTTTGGTGGATGCCCTAGTACATCTTACAGAAGAACTAATGGTTGGACATTGCCTGGTGACAGAGTATGAACAGGAGCAATGCCTTGTATTTCTTCTACCTCCCAAGGGCAGCTTCAGAACCTAATGGATCTGACCACACAGAGTTGCATCTGTTTCACATTCCTAAGCAAATTTTTCTTTTCTTTTTTTTTTTTTCCAGAACTGCAGGATGGTGCTGTAATTTTTAGTGTAATTAAATAATGGGACATCTCTAAATCAAATGTTATAGCAAATGATGATTTATTTAAAAAAAAATTTATACCTAATCCTAGGATATTATCTGGGGATATTCACTGATACATGAACATCAATAGGATTTATATGTGTGTATAAACCAATGTAATCGTGGGACATATTTTGTAGTAAAGCAGCTAGGGCTTTTGAACAATATTAATCTAAGTCCTTATTAGGGATTTGAGGCTTTTAAAAATATTTTTTAAAAATCCAGATTTATTTCCAAGAAAGGCTTAAAACTCAGCAATTAATAGGAAAAAACCAGCTGGCCAAACTTATTTTAGAAAAATACAGTTGCACTATAAAAATTTTGTAACATTATAGTAGATTTATATTTGACCTGTCAAAAGCTTGCTTTTGGACATTTTTACTGCCAGTCTAAAAAAAAAAAAAAAAAAAAAAAAAGAAACAAAACAAAAAATCCAAACCAAAACAAACCACCAAAGCCAAAAACCCAAAAAAATCCCCAAACAAAATGAAATGAGGATCCAAGCACAGGCTTCCTTTCTAGACAAAAGAAAAATTAAAGTTGCTCTCAACAGGAGCCAGTGTGTGACAGTTGGTTTGGAAGTGAGTAGGGTGAATTTGCCCTCTACCTATGATCTCTCATCCTTCCCATCTGCCTGCCTGCTGCCAGCAGTTGATCCCCTGCCTTGATCGTCTGTTCAGCCAGTCTCTGGATCAATTTTGCAACAGAGCTGGAAAACCTCTTTCTCAGGTTCATCATAGTAATTTCTCAGTCCTGCAAGGGAAAGACAGAGCAGAAACATCTCTCCTCTCTGAGCTGAAGGATACTGTTTCAGGGGTTATATCTTCCTCCTCTTTGCCTTTGTCACACATGGGTTACTCATCCTTCCTCCTTGCCTGTGACAAGTTATATCAACATGTGAGCAGCTGAACAGCCCTTGTATATAGGAAAGAACCTCCCTGAAAGGATTGCTGCCAAATAAATATGAGTGCATTGCAGAATTGGAGAAAAAACATACTGGGGACAGAACCTCCTCACCTTTTTTCTTGCTATCAACAGATGAAGAAAACATATTTCCAAGATTTCTCTCAGGTTTTTTTGTTAGACAGAAACTCCTTTGTTTAAGGAGTTTTCTAGGTCAACATAGATATGCTACTTGTCTCCAAACCAAGTACTCCTAAATGTCTGGTTTTTGACCTGATTTTATTTCTGAAGGTTTTCATTACAAAAAAAAACCCCAAAAAACAAAAAACAACAACAACAACAACAAAAACCAAACCAACAAACAAAAAAACCCCCACATTTAAAAAAGCACTCTCAGTATCTTTTAGTGGTGTGTTCTAGAATTCCATGGAAAATTGACTGAGACATAAACTATTATTTCTTTAGGGCCTTTTTAAAATAAAAGATGTAGAATTTATCAGTGCTAATTTTATAAAGCCAACTGAGATTACACAAATACCTCTCCCAATTATTTAATAAATTAATAATATCAACAGAGTGGGGATTTTTACAAAGGTGCTTGTTACTTGATCAATAACTGACTCATGCCATCGGACACAACAGTGACCTCAGGTTTGCTTTTGTGAGAGTAGAGGAAATTTTCCCTTTTTTGTACTTCATTTGAACTACTTTAAAGTGATTCCAGTGTATGAAGATTTTTAGTTGTGCAAACTGCATGAGTTTATTGGCTTAGTTATATCTATCACAATACATTAATGAAACTAAAATTCTTATATTGCAAAGCAAGTATATTTCTGCCCTGAAAGGCTGCTGAATTTTTTCCAATATAGTTAACTGTTCCAAACATTTAATAAATTTTATTTTTCCTGCCCTTAAATAGGTATTTTTTTCACAGATCTTTACATCTTTTATTTTTATTACTAGATACTGGATTTCAAAGAACAAAACAAATCAGAGAAGGCACAAATAATTTTTTTCTGTTGACACGGGAAATTATGGCTTCTGAGAAGTTTAGTAATGGATGGGCCTACAGCTCTTAATGAGGAGCTTTGGGGATTTTTTCATCTTCAGCATTTTTGAATTAGGCTCTGAGTAAACTCCAGGAAAAATGTGTATTTAGGGGATGAGCAGCATGAAGAGTATTTCAAAAGGCTGAAAGTAAGAAAAAGGAGCATGCAAAATCTGGTGTTCACATATGGATGCCACACTTTCTGGATAACAAAGGATATACTTCACTAGAACTATCCATAAATCCATACCCAAGAGCAATAGAACCAAGATGCTAAGTGAAAATAACTTAGACATTACCTTAGATTTCTATACAGTAGAGGGCTGTGTGAGCACTGTGTGTGCTTGTCACTTTTAACCACATTCACTCCCTGAAAAATATCTTTTAAATATGTTAGTATTTGAAACAAATTTGACAGGGAGGTAGTTAACTCAAAGCCAATGATTGTGGAAAAAAATGGATAGGCAACAGGTCACAGGAGCACTAATTCTGAACCAAAGTATTCTAAAACACTTGAATTTTTTACTAACTTTATATATATCAAGTATTTAGTCTGAAAATTATCAGAAAAGTTTTCCAGATCTTTTTCCTACATATGGATACTTTAGTGAATGTCTTCAAAGTCTTTATTCACTCAAATTATAAAAATAACCTGGAGAGAGTTATACATAAGATTCAGTGATTCTGCATTATTTGCATAACAGTATTGGTGCTATGATAATTCTTCTATTTTATATATTGTCATGTTTAACTCTGTAATGTGTGTTAATAAAAACCCCAAAATATACATTGGTGAATATGAACTTCTTAATTTCAAAATTGTACAAAAACTTATTTTCTAGTGATAATAGCTTTAGTTATTAATATAAAGAATATACATAATATAACTTTATATTGACAATTTATAATTTTATAAATGTATAATTATATAGTTATATAAAATTATATCCTATATAATATATATTAATATTACATTATTTATATTTATTTATAGGTATTAATATATTTATATAATGATATAAAATATATATATCAATAATTTATAGTTAAAATATACCTGCTGTTTACTCTAATCAGCTTCTGAATTCAGTTTTTTCTTCTGTTTGGGCCTATTCTTGAGGAATACTATAAGGACATTTGTACCATGGGTTAACCACCCATAAATAAGAAAATGCTGTTTGTTTTTAAAAATAAATCTAAGAAAATATATAGGTCTGCAAGCAGATATACAAGAAGAAGAACAAGACTGCCAGTCTATAAAAATGAATTTTAATATTACTTTTGATTTAAAGAAGGATGTGAAAAGAGTCCTTGTCCCTCAGAAACTTCAGCCTCCTTCAGAGGAAATTTCCCTCCCGTTACCCTATGCTGACTGTAGTATGGATAACTCTGCTACTCTGTGTTACTTAAACACTGTTCTCAGTATCAGTACATTTAAATGATTTGAAAAAATTAGGCTCTAAATTAGGCTCTTATTTTCAAGGCTTTTAAATTTTACTATTTTTTTTTGGCCTTGAGGTAGTGTATTGTTTTCAATCAGAAGTACTCCTAAGCACCAGGATCCCATAGCTTAGAGGTATAGAAGACAAAGGAGTACAGGACAGCTGATCAGTATTCAGCATTTCTCCCAAATCAAGACAAATGTATCCCCATGAGCAAGAAATCAAACAACAGTTGCAGAAGACCTACTGGGATGAGCAGAGAGCTTCTAGCCAATCTCAAACAGGAGAAATTTATGGAACATGGAAATGGAGAGAGGCTGTATGGGTGGCGTATAGGAATATAGTGGGCATCCTGGAGATAGAAGATACAGAGAAGGTAGAGTAACTGAATTACCTCTTGGCCTCAGACTTCACTGCTGAGGCTGTCCTTCAGTAATCCTAGACCCTGGAGGCAAGAGAGGAAGACTGGTGAAAAGAAGACTTGCCCTTGGCCATTGAGGGTTTGGTTAGAGGTCAGCTAGGCAGACAAAACCAGAAATCCATGGGCCCTGGTGGGATGCACACACAGGTGCTGAGGGAGCTGGCAGATGTTGCTGCTAAACCCACTGTACATCTTCTTTGAAAAATGATGGAAGAGAGGTGCCTGATGACTGGAGGAAAGCCAGTGGCACTCCCATCTTCAAAACTGCCAGCAAAGAGGATCTGGGAAGCTACTGGCCAGTCAGCCCCACCTCCATCCCTGGAAAGGTATTGGCACAGATCACTCTGGAGGCTGTGACCAAGCACGTAAAAGAAGAGAAGGTCATCAGGAGTAGTCAGGGTGGACTCACCAAAGGCAAATAATGTTTGACCAATCTGATGGCCTTCTGTGATGGTGTGGCCGGATGGGTTGTTGAGGTGAGAGCAGTGGATGTTTTCTACCTGAGCTTCAGCAAGACTTTTGACACGGTCTCCCATAAAATCCTCATAGATAAGCTCAAGAAATGTGGATTAGAGGAATGGACAGTGAAATGGACCAAGAACTGGCTGAAGGCAGAGCTCCAACAGTCATGATCAGTGCAGCAGAGTCCAGCAGGAGGCCTGCAGTCAGTGGTATTCCCAAGGGATCAATATTAGGACCAATCTTACTGAACTTACTTGTCAATGACCTGGAGGAAGGGATCAAATGCACCCTCAGGAGGTTTGCTGGTGACACCAAACTGGGGGCAGTGTCTGATCCACCTGAAAGCTCTGCTGCCATTCAGTGGGACCTTGATCAGCTGGAGGGTTGGGCAGAGAGAAACCTGATGAGGCTCAACAAGGGGAAGTGCCAGGTCTTGCACCTGGGCAGGAACAGCCCCAAGTGGCAGCACAGGCTGGGGCTGACCTCCTACAGAGCAGCTCTGTGGAAAAGGACCTGGGACTCCTGGTGGATCACAAGCTGTCCATAAGCCATCAGTGCCCCCGTGGCCAGGAGGGCCAATGTCATCCTGGGGTGCACTGGGAAGAGTGTGGCCAGCAGGTCGAGGGAGGTGATCCTCCCCCTCTACTGAGCCCTGGTGAGGCCACAGCTGGAGTTCTGTGTCCAGTTCTGGGCTCCCCAGCACGAGAGAGACAAGGAGCTACTGGAGAGGGTCCAGTGGAGAGCCACAAGGATGGTCAGGGGTCTGGAGCTTCTCTCTCATGAGGAGAGACTCTGGGAGCTGGGACTGTTTGGTCTGGAGAAGACTGAGGGGGGATCTCATCAATACATAGGAAATATCTCAAAGATGGGTGTCAGGAGGATGGTGCCAGTCTCCTTTCAGTGGTGCCCGGCAACTGGTTTTAGTACAGTGACCATAAACTAAAGCACAAGACATTCTACCTCAACATGAGGCAGAACTTCTTTATACTGAGCGTGGCAGAGCATTGAAACAGCTGCCTGTGGAGGCTGTGGAGTCACCCTCTTTGGAGACACTCAAAATCCACCTGGATGCATTCTTGTGTCACCTGCTCTAGGTGACCCTGCTTTGGCAAGGGGCTTGGACTGGATGATCTTCAGAAGTCCTTGTCAACCCTAATGACTGAAAGGGTGATTCTGTGATTCAGAATCTGCTATCTTAAGTATTGCATATAAGCAGAGTGAGCAAAAGAATATAATTTTATGCATATAGAAGAAATTTTATGGTAAGTTTATATCTATTTTTATTTTAACTAAAGAAAATGTGTGCATCTTCCTTGGATTTTATTGCAAAAATTTTGTTGGTGGTGTCAAATTCTTCAGTGAATAACCTATCTCTCTCAAATTATTCACAACAATCTAGGAAGATGCAGCTTCCTGAAGTCTTTGCCCAGACACATTTTTCCTTGTCCCATAGGTTTTCCCAGTGTCTTTCTCCCTGTCCCATGCTTTAGCAATCTGAGGCTATCAATTACATTCCCAAGAGAACTCCTCAGGCTGGGTCTGCAATTGGATACAGTGTCAATTAGGCAGTACATGTGTGCCAGTACCATTCAGAGACAGAACCACCTATTGTGTCCTGTGTATGTACCTACAGCCAGGAGAATGTGGTCCAATACTTGTGAAAGGATGCTCATCATAGCCCCACTGAAGACATAAAAAAGCATTCTAAAGTGTGAGCACCTTCATTTTGGTTGCCGTATAAAACTTAATGCTGTTCTTAGTTCTGTTGCCAGAACACAGAAAATAAACAGAGAAATGTTAAGAGGAAAAAAATGAATGGAGAAACAAACAGTGCAACAGAGGTCTTGAAATACAGGGCAGTTAATGATGAAGAGTAACTATAGTCAGAGGTACAAAACCAAACAAACCTATTGCCTATTCTTTCATCTCATACCTTGTTAAGAGACTCTTGGTTTCACAATTAGAAATTTCCCATGAGGCCTGTATGTGATCTGCTTCCCTGAAACTCAGTAAAACAAAGACCACAGATGGCCTTCTTTGATAAGTACAATTATTGGAGAATAAACTGCATAGTGATAATTCATTAGTTCTGAAGTCTTCATATGGGGTCTGTGAAAGATATGTCTGGATACAAGTTTGTCTACATTGGACGTGTTTTGAAAATTACAAGATATTGAATTGGATCGTATATATAAAATCCATTTAAATTATTTGATCATCAGTCATGGTATGATGAGTCTATTTAGCTCAACAGACAGAAAGTAATTTAAGCACTGCCCAAGAATTATTTTTAGTCATCAACTGGCAGCATAGATAATGTCCATTAATGACTGAATAAACTCCAGCTTTGAAACAAATGAATACCATTTTGCATTTGCATAGCACTCATCATCTATAGATCTGACAGTTTTAAAAGGATTGGCAAACATTCACAGTGACTATTTCTAGTGAAAACAGAATGTCCTGAATAAACTGCTCCTATGAAGGCAAACTAAAGCCTGCTTGGAAGACACTGCTGCATATAGTTTTCAGATTTAATAACTAGAAAACAGTGAAAACATTTTATGCTTATATGAAAAGGTAATCAGGCAGGAAAACAAGTTTTTAGAAAAGAAACAACATTGGGGTTTTTTTGTAGAAAGCTGAGATTAGGTCTATTTAGAACATAATGATTATGTGCCCAGTCCAATGCCTGTAGTCAATTATTAGTCTGTGCAGCCAACGTCACCACAAAAAGACTTGCAAATGCCTGGTATTTTTAACTTCAGAATGACTATCTGAGCTTGTTATCTGAGCTGAGATGCGTTCCTGTTATGCATGTAGGCTCTTGCCTAAGCAGAGAGGCTAAGGAGAGACCTGCTATGGTTATATAGGCAGCCGCCTTCAAAACAGATTATGGTAGTGTTTAGATACTGAACAAACCATGCCCAGATGTACCATGTCCCATATCTTACCAGCTTTGCCTCTTGGAAAGCAGCCATAGCATATAGGCATGAAGCAACAGTGTTAGACTTTCTTAGCAGAACCAGGCACACTGCTTTTTGATCTCATCAGTTCTTCAGTAACACCATCCTGACCCCAGGAATTAGAACTGGCTTGACCTAGAAGTGAAGAGAGCTCTTTTATCAGCCTTTGGGTTGCAGAGCAGCTTGCAGAGGGACTTGCTGACACCACTTTGCTTCAGTCTTCTGAAGTCTTCTACCCTTCTGTAAATAATTGTGCATTTACATCTGAAGGTCCCAAAGGCCTCTCTTCTTGCTGTATGTTACAGGACAGAACACATGTTCTGTATGTACCAGGAGTGGATTCTGATCTCAAAGAGGTTTTTTTCATTGCCAATGCACAACAATGTAACCTTAGCAGCAAAACATCTCTACATATATATCAATATGATGATTTTTATACATTCCTTGCTAACAGTTACTCTGCAGGAATAACCCAGGCCAGTTTAGTTTACATAGTCTGGGAAGTCAAATCATTCCAGTTTTACAATTTACTGAATTTTTATCTGTGCATTATCAGAGACATCCTTAGATGACCTGCAAATATGTATCTTGCTTCAAAAAGCCAAATTTCATGTATGAAAGGCATTGCCAAATGCGTTTGATTCTCTGCAGCAACATAACACAATACAACACAATACAATACAGTACAATACAATACAATATAATACAATATAATACAATATAATACAATATAATACAATATAATACAATATAATACATAGGTCTGAATATCAGCCCAGTCTTTGGGCTTTTCAGCAACTAAAACAGAGAGAAAAAGAAGGAAAACTCAAAATTTAATGTTCTTGTCATTTCTGAATAGTTTTGACTGACTGTTACCAGTACATAGGTATTTTAGCTACATAGGTCAACTGCTTCAGTTGAAATAATTGGTGAACACAAATACAATGTGTAGATTCAAAGTGCAGCTCTAGGCAAGAAATTAATTCCCTGAAAATTAAAGTCAAGTAATATCATACATCTAGTACACATAATTTTTCAAGAATAATAAAAACTTTAGAGTCTACTGACAGAGTTTCATAGAAACAGGAGTGTGAAGATTAGTGCACCTAAATGGCAAATTATCTGAAGCAGAATTTCTTTTGATATTAGGATCCCTGTTTGCAATGTTTATTGAAAATAACTTTTTCTTCTCCCAAAACTTTTCTCCATACGCTGTTCTAGTAGATTATTTTTTCTTACATGCTGCATAGCATGATAATTATGATAATTGATGCAAAGATGTTTCTATTTTAAGGCCTAGTAGTCTTTAGGTATTTCTGTTGAGATTTTGATAGCTGGAATCATAAATATCTATTTTTAACATGTTTTTTTAAATATTCATTTATCACTATCACTTTATAGGATGTCTGGGGTGGCTTTGGTGCCTGAAGAGGATGTGGCACTGTAGGATAATCTTTGAAAACCCAGGAAGCAGAGTTTCTTCACCTTGGGACTTTTTGCTCTGTGCTGGTGACACGTTTGCACTCGAGCTGCAAACCTGCTGTGAGGAAGATGAAGAGAGGACTAGTGCTTCCTGATTGATTTCTTTGACTGTCTGAGCAGCAGTCTGTTAGTCATGCAGTCAGGTCATATCCCAAATCTGAAAGTCCAAAGTTAGACTTAAATTTTGAAAACACAGTCTTCAGATTGAGCTTACCGTTTCAGCAAACTTTAATCAGCTTGCCTTTTCCTATTGTAATTAAATAACACTGTCCCTGTTTTGACAGTCTTTGGCTGTATGGAATGGAAAGTCAAAATAAACAATGGAGACCACACTGAACATTCTAATACACAACTTCAAATGTTTACTTAATTCCTCAGCCTAAACTAGACACCTTATCCAAATATTTCCTCCTGTTGACTCCTTCTGTCCTCCACAACACCCTGAGTTACTAGATTATAGATAGGAGCTTCTAATACACATAACTCAGATTGAAAGCAGAGTTTCATTAGCACAAACTTCCCTATCATAATTGTAATCTACAGTAAATGAATGCAATTAGCCCCACCAGCATCTCCCCTGAGCCCTCCTCTCCTCTGCCATAATCTCTTGTATAAAGCTAGCATACTACATTCACTGCAATAGCAGCAGGTCTACAGGGAAGCCCTTTCCAGGATCATGTCACTGCTTCTCCTTCAGATGTTAGTATTTTCATGTCTTGGAGCCACAGAGCTACAGAGAAATTCACAGCAAAGGAGAAGCAGAAGACCATTTCAGCACTTCCTCTACCTGAACAAAAATCTCTTTGAAAGCCAAAGTTCTCCTGAGCTGGTAAGCGAGAACCCAGTAGGAGTTGAAGAGACCCTGAAAGTACCAAGCTTTTTTGTATCAATTCCACAGACAGCATCTGGAAGTGAGAAGAAAGAGGAAAAAAAAATGTCCAGATTCATACTTCCCAGTGCAGGACTCCATGCAGACCAAAACCTGAGAACATGGGTTGCATCCAGAGAGACCTCTCCTGTGGAAAACCTCTCTCCACCCCATTATTCCAGCAAGAGAGAGTCTGAATTTCCCTACAGAAAAGATGCCAAGAAATTCTGGGACCATTTCATGTTAAAGAAAAATTCAGCATCTGAAGAGGTTGTCCTGCCAATCAAGACCAATGAAATGCACCAAGAAAACTGCAGAACCCTGCCTTTCGCCCAGGTAAGAGCAAGCATCCAAAATCAACAACCACACCTTTCCCCCAGTCTCTTGTATCAGCAACTGAAGGGACTCGTCCCATTCAAAGATCTTCAGAACACTTGCTCAAAAGTGGCTGAAAGACTCTGATGAAAAAATTAGTCTGATGAGGCAAATAAACTGCAGCACTAGAAAGCTGCAGACTCAATTTTTATAGAGTTATTTATTATTTTTAAGCACAGATATTTGGACATGGTCTAAGCAGGCAGGAAATTCATAAGTAATTATCCATTCAATGAATATACATCTCAACTGTTTGTAGATCTGAATAATGATTCTCTCTCTCTCTCTTTATATATAGATATACATATGTGTGTATACACACACGTGTGTGTGTGTGTGTGTACATATACACACTCTCAGGACAAGTATTTACAGCAAAAGCTGGTTGTTCTCTTACACCTAAGCAAGGACTGTTTTCTCTTGTGTTAATTAGAAAACTGATGCTTATGTCTAATTTTGTGTTAAGAATTTAAGAGAACTGGTAAGTTGTCCCATGTATAGATAAAGCCATTCTGTCACATTGTAACATTACGACAAGCAATCAGTAAAGGTAAAAGTGCTGCATTCTTTGTAAATCACCATCAATTCTCAGTGTTCTGTAATCATTATCTGTCAAGGACCATGTCTTTTCACATCCAGAACTAAATTTATTTCACACAGACATACGTATATACAGATGTTGCCTAGAAACCTGTACTATTTTTTCTGAGAAGAAATAAGTGCAGTAGTTTTTTTTTTTTTTTTTTTTTTTTTTCTCATGCCTTCTAGCAAATTCCATGGGCTATTTCTGCATCAGAAACATTAAATTGCTTTCTGTTTCAGGGTGTTACTCACAACAGCTGTGAGAAGGTGACAGTACAGAATAATCTGTGTTTTGGAAAATGTAGTTCTTTTCATGTTCCTGGTTCAGAAGATCACCTTTATACCTTTTGTTCTCGTTGCCTGCCCAGCAAGTTCTCCATGAAGCGCCTGGATCTCAACTGCACTGATTCTGTTCCAGTGGTCAAAGAAATCATGATTGTAGAAGAGTGTAAATGTGAAAGTCGGAAGATTAAAGACCCTGTGATTGGATCTCTGCTGTCAGACTTGTATGAAAATGTACATGAGCACAATTAACTTGTGCAAAGTACCTCTTAATTGATCATAAGAATTTACAATGAAAAAATTCAAACAAGTTGTCATCACTCTAGTACAAAAAACTATTAAAAATGTATATTTTCTACATGGTCTCTGTTTCAACAATAACTTTACCTAAAGTGTAACAAATGTTTCCTTGCAGCTGTTAAACAAAATTAGGTGAAATTGTTTGGCTTATGTGTAAAGGTCTTACTTTAACAAGGGAAAACTTTAAAAATCTTCCACCCTTCCTATCATTGTTTCTAGGCTGCTAGTAAACAAAGACTGAATTAACATGATTTATCTGTGCAAAACCTGAATGTTGACTAGTTTTTCTTGCCTTTGCTTGTGAGGAGTGCCAATATAGCTGTATTAGCAACAAAAATGAGATTTTAGCCTGTTCCCTACAAAAACAGTCTACTTTTACAGCAAGATAATGACTTGGGGAGTGTAAAACATAAATGGACATGAGTTACATAGAAATCTGTGACTAGTTAATGTCTGTGACTAGTTAAATCTGTGACTAGTTGATCTCAGTTGGAGTTCAGTTCTCATTGAAAACTAATATACCACACAATTTACACCAATAGATAATGGGAAGGGGTATTTTGCCATAGAAATCACTTGCGCTCTTTTTCACATGCCTGCATTCACCCTCTACCTTTATTTTTATTTAAAGTGTTCAACTGCAGAAGGAGGAAAAAAAATATAAAATGCCACACTCTTACAGAAAACATCACAGGCAAATACACTGTTCTTATTTAAATTCACTAGTATTTAAATTATTTAAAGACAATGCACATTTTCTAGTCCGATAAATATTTACATTGTCACTGAATCTAAGATAAAATTTAAATAATATTCTCAACTCTTAAACTAAAGCAGAAAAGGCATTTGTGTGACTGCAAGTCTGAGAATTACTTTATCATTATAGCAATACCTTAACAACTTTACAGGAAAAGCTGAGAGAGCCCTGCTAGGAAGCATTGGAGTCTACTGCTGAGCAACACAGCACTAGAGATTATTAGCTGAACTGCTGGCTTTCTGGCTCTCTCCAGCTGCTTCTCCCTAGATTTCTCCTGCAGACCTGGCACACCAGATAGAGATCAGCTTCCAGCAGAAGAGTTCAGCATATCTCTATGCCATTTTTTTCAGTCCTCTGAAAATCTGCTCTCAGACCTGGGCCACTGTTGTTAAACTGTCCAAGCTCTTTTTTATGGTACTGGAAATCACTATTGACTTAGCATATTCAAGGTCAAATTCAAGGGCTGGGGTAAATGATTCCTTATATTTGAACTGCAGTAGAATTAGAAGTATCTTAATATTCTTTCAGAAAACATGTACAGCATGTCTTTGGAGTCCAAGGCCCATGTTGAATATTTACTAAAAATTGCATCTGAATCATATTCTGATACTGGGTGTGAAGCTGTTTGCTTTCCAGGCCACTTGCAGTGAATAAAGTAAAGACTCGTATATAGTTACCTTTCCCTACATATAAACCTGTTTTTAGATAATAAAAATTGAGCACTAAAACTCAAGCAAGTCTTCTCTCTATTACTTTGTATGAAGGACTGATGTGAAAACTATATATGGCTGTTTATATGCTATATATAGTGCCATTCCAAATAACTAGCTATCAAGGTGTTATAATCCCTGTATTGTGTGTGAAAATTTGTGTATATTTTTAATCAAGCCTAAGGAAGAAAAGTACACACAGCATTAAAGTTCTAAACCTTTTTCTCTTTAGTGATGATTTTGTTTAATCTGAAAAAAACAAGTGTTCTGAGATGTTTTACTCAGAATTTTTGACACATATTTTAAAGCTGTCTGAATATATAAAAATGTTCATCAACTTTTTTTTTTTCTGTTTTCTGATATACAAGTATGTTTTTAGGTTTGCAGGCAACCACTTGAAGGTAGGACCTACATACACTCCAAATAAAATCACATCAATTAAAAAGAAGAAATCTTTCAGTCTTGTAATTTTGACAAAACTGATGAGTTTATCATGAGGATGTCTGAATCAAAGCTATATTGTGGACTGCAATGTATTCAGCCTAATTTTTAAAGCTTCTTCTCTGTGCTGAAGCATTACTGCAAAGAAAGCTATTCATGTAAGGATTTTGCAGGACAACCTTCTCAGTATGAATTTGCACAGCTTAAAAGTAGGTGAAAAGAGGCAGTGACAGCTGTAGTAATTGCTAATTAGATTAGTGCTGTAGGTTTTTTGGATGCATGTTTAATTAACTCAGCAATGACTGGTTGCATGTAATTAGCACAGTATTTTGCAAAATCAATCAATGTGTTAATTGGATCAGATTTCTCAGCGTTTAAAAAATCCAAATTAGGAATATGTTTTATCCAGGCCCTAAAGCGATTTTTCTCTCTGGGCATAATGATTGCCTCTACAAGCAGAACATGGTGGATTAGAAAGGTGAGGAGTGTGATCCATATCACTATATGGATGCTTTCAGTAGTAACATTATAGCAACAAAACCTAGTTCCATCTGCTCAGAGCTTGCATGCATTCTGCAATGAAAGCTTTTCCAGTGCAGTTATGTTGACAATATAAGTGCTGCTAATGTAATCCATTTTGGAGCACTCCTGCAAACCTATTTACAGAACAAAATATAGTTGCAGAGCTCTCTGAAAATTCTAATAAATTCCAAGCAGTTTCTACACTTCTGCCCTTTTATTTGTCTCACTGTATCTTTTTCAAATGGGTGTGCTTTGTGTAGAAAATAACTGAAGCGCTGTTTTCTCCCTACTGCTTTAGCAAAATAAATCTTCAGGCTATTCCTTTAAGTGTGGATTTAATGCAACCAGCTTTAATGCCTGTAAATATATCAAATACCAGGTTTACATCAAATTCTTATTGAATTCTGCACAACCATATATTCCAGGGGAAAATCTCTGAAGCTGCACTTCATGCTGTGCTTGGTACTGTTTTCACTGCCTATGAAACATTCACAACTAACCCCACGGCTCTCAGCTGACCAGCTTTTACTGGCAGGTGGTGAAATAGTTTGCGGCGCTTTCTCCTAAATGTATGCACTCACTCGCTCCCTGCTGCAAGAGCAAAACAAGACTTACTCAGACAGAAGCTCTCTGCCAGCTGCATAATCATGGCTGGAATCATTATATGCTGAGTTGGAAGGGACCTCTAAGGATCATTGAGTCCAACTCCTGACCCTGCAGAGGATATCCCCAAGAGTGTGCCTGAGACTGTTGTCCAAACACTTCTGGAGCTGTCAGGCTGCTATTGTGACCATTTCCCTGGGGAGCTGCTCCAGTGCCCAACCACTTTCTGGGGGAAGAAACTTTTTCCAGTTTTCCTAACCTCAACCTCCCCTCACACAGCTTCAGGCCATTGCCTTGGGTCCTGTCAATGGTCACGACAGAGAAGAATGTCTATCCCTCCCCTTTCCTTCACAAGGAAGTTGTCTTCCAAACTGAGGTCTCCCATCAGTCTCTGCAGTCAGGCTGAACAGACAAATGATCTCAGCTGTTTCTCATAAGGGTTCCTTCCCTCCAAGACCTTTCACCATTTTCACTGGCTCCTTTTGGATGCTCTCTAATAACTTAGTCTCTTTCTCAAGTTGAGGTGACCGAAACTGCACCCAGCACTCAAAGTGAAGCTGTCCCAGCTCAGAGCAGAGCAGGACAATCTCCTCTCTTGCCCGGCTGGTGATGCTGATGCCCCCAGGACAGGATTGGCCCTCCTGGCTGCCAGGGCACTGCTGACTCATGTTCAGCTTTTCACTGACCAGGGCCCCCATGGCACTGCTTTCTCTTGTTGAACTTCATATGGTTGGTGACTGCTCAGACCCCTGATTTGTCAAGGCCTCTTTACAGGATCTCCCTGCCTTCAAGGGCATCAACTCCTCTTGGTTTTGTATCACCTGGGAACTTGGTTACTATCCCTTCCAGTTGTGCATCCAAGTAATTCATGGAGATGTTGAAGAGTAAAGGGCCAAGGATGGACCCCAGCTAATGACAGGTCCCCAGACCAATGCCACCTCATTCACTGTAACCCCTTGTGCCTGTGAGCCAGCTGCTCACCCATCACATGATGTGTGTATCCAGCTGTGGGCTGGACATTTTATCCAGAAGGATCCTATGAGAGACAGCATCAAGAGCTTTGCTGAAGCCTAAAAAGATTACATCAACTGTCTCTCCTTGATCACCTGCATGTGTTACCTTGTCAAAAAAGGAAATCAAGTTTGATAAGCAGAACTGTCTTCTCATGAAGCCATGCTGGCTGGGACCAATGACTGTGTTGTCCTTCAGGTGTTCTTCAATACCTCCCAGAAAAATCACCGTAACTTTACCAGACACTGAAGTGAGACTGACACGACCCTGCAGTTTCTGTCTTCTGCAAGATAAGTTCTTTGTCCTCTCGTTAACAACCAGACTATGTTATCCAGCTTCCAGTCAGTTGGGTCTGCTCTGGATTCCCAAGACCACTCAAAAATCATTGAAAGAGGCTTTGCAATGAAATCAGCTAGCTCTGTGAGGATTTTCAGATTTGCATGGAAATCTCATAGATCTCATAGATTTGCATGGATCCATCTGGAGCAGCAGATCCTGTGTAATGTACCCAGAACTATGTGCTGTGCCAGATGGTGTATTTTTAAGAGGTGTGGAACTGGGGCAATTTCGGGTCCTCCATCAGACAGTTTACCAGTAGAAACAGGAAACACTGGTAACGAATTATAAATATTTTACGTTTTCTGTTGTGCTAAACCTAGCTCCTTAAATATCTGCTATGTAACAACTAACTTCAGCTCACCTGAAATCATTTTCTGACAGCTGTGCACAGTCCTTCTGCTCAAGTGAGAAAGAATGGGGATGAAAAGACTCTGTAGCTGGCCCTAATGCAAGAATATTGATAAAACTATCCTCATTGAGAGCAAAACTATCCTGTTTAGAGCAACCTCAGGCTCCATTGCATAAGCAAACTGCATTTTCACTTCAAAATTAAAAAATTAACCAGAAGCTAAATACTACTACTACTGCTGCTGCTACTACTAATGTTAATAATGATAATGGTAATGATAATAACAACAATCATAACACTTATAAAAATAATATTGATAATTACAACAATAATAAATAATAAAGAGCAAGCCTGATGTTTCTCTAAGGGCTTTTCTGAGGCATTTTCATTTTTCCTGGTTTAACTACTGCTTCTATCAGACATTTAATCAGACATTCTGCTGGTGGCTGGAGCCCACAGTCAGGGTGTTCAAACTGAGCAAGCATGTACCTAAGCTACCTTCTGAACAAGGCTGTACCTGCAGAAGCTTTTGCAAACTCACCTCACTGCAGAGATGTGGAACATTCAGTCTGTTGCCCTGCCTGGTGTTGAGACAGCAACTCTTGGAGGAAGAGAGGCATTAGAAGAATTAATACTAGGACTTCTGCAGCTGGACACTATCTGAGCAGAACTCCTCACACCACTGAAGTGCCTGAGGTGAAAATCAACTCCCTAAATTAGACCAATGCCTTGTCTACCTTAGTACTCCATTTAATCTATCTGGGCTGCAGGATCAGGAGATTTCACCATGTTTACTATTGAGGCAGGCAGATTAGAAAACATACGTTGTCTTTGATTTTTCTGGCTATTAAGAAAGAAAATGCAGCCTGAGACACAATTTCCTTTAACACCTACAGTCTCATCCTCAATATGTCACACTGTAACTTGTGACCTCAAGAGGTTTTCTTTCATCATGCTGTTTCATTGACACAGACTTTTTTCTTCATGATGCAGATCTTCATGACATCAAGAATTCTGCTCCCATTCTAGAGTTTACAACTGTCTTCTACGTATGTCACCAAGGTTTACAAGAAAATGAGCAATGCAGCGCTGCTGCAGAAATGTGGTAGCAACAAATTTAGAAGGACCCAAGAAACTGAATACTGCTGAGAAGGCTGACTTCTCAGCTCAGTATGTATCTGTGCACAGAAAATGTCCCTTCTGCATGTTGGTCAAGGGGCACAGTTCGGCTAAAAATGAATCCTGGAAAACATACTCAAGAAGCAGGGGGCTTGTAAGCTGTAAGAATCATGGGAATCACAGTGCACACCTCTCTCTTGCATGTGTTCCCCATAACAGAGCCTCAGCTGTTACTGCACATGGCTTGATTTTAGCAGGCTGATTTAATATTTACTGAGTGCCAATAAAATTTATAGGATGACAGCTGGTGGCTCCTGTGGTAATTTATAAACAGCAACAACACAACACAGACATCAGAAAATCCAAGAGGAATTCTATGCCATTGTACAATATTCAGCACTAAAGAAGGTGAAAAATTTTGCAGATTTCTAATGATCTTTCTGTAATATATCCATATTGGATTTTATTTAAATCCATATTATGCAAAGCTAGGACTCCCATAGGTATGTTTTTTTCACAGAGAATGTAGTTCACCATAAAGTCTCATTATCTATCTATCTGGATTTGATATTCTGGCAAAAAAGTCAGATAGTATCTCTAAGCCAAGACTTTTCAGTAGGGAAGTCCAGCACACAACTGCCTGCTTTTCCTCCTGCAATGTGCTTTCTCAAAAAAAAGCATTAACAAAAGTGGATTGCTGTGCTATGACTAAGCCAGAAAAGACCACTGCCCTTGTACCACAATCTATGTTTACATCACATTCCTGAATAAAAAAAATATAACTTTCCTGGCAGGACCACAGGTCTAAAAACTGGCTATTATCTGTGTACCACTGTAGAAATGCAAATGCTTGGTACTTAAATGGAAGATAATATTACTAACTGATTCTTTTTCATTCCATATGAAACCTTGATCATACTATTATTCTTTTCTTATACTTCCATTTTACTTCCCTAGAACATGGTTTCCTTTTAATTTCTTGATTGCTTTTTTTTTCCCCCCTTTGAAATTAATTCTTCAAATCAGTGAACAGTCTTCACAGCTTATTAGGTCTTTTACATATAGACATAAATATACATATGAAATTTGTCATGGAATTGCGCCAGAAGCTGGTTTTTGTTATTTTTTAATATTTATAAAAGAACAAGTTTTTCAGGTTTTTTTTCCCCTTAGTAGATATATTAACAGTCCAATTAATAAGTCCATTATTTTCAGTGCTACCTACTCCTATAGACATATATAGATTGTTCTGAAAGAACTGATCTTCTCTGATTTTCCTGGAACATGCATCTTTCTCCTTCCAGACAACCTCCAGGTTCAGCTACAAATATCTATATTCAGGTTAGAGCAACTTCAGGTTGAAATGTTAACAATTGTCCTGTGTAATAGTGTTTTTTTGGTTGTTTTCTTTTGGGTTTGTTTTTGTTTTGTTCTGTGGTTGGTTTTTTTGTTGTTGTTGTTGTGGTTTTTCCCCCCAGAATAATCATGTTATGATTAAGTTTTAGGAAGAATATGATCAGTAATAAAGGTGAGCTTTTGGCATTGGTAGTCTTTACAACATCACTCTTCATCTATTATTGTGAAGGGAAACTGCTCCAGGGTAAGAGCCCATCAATTTGCAGTGGGAACTATGCCACTCAGACAGATGGGGTACCTTTAGGTAGCCAAAAGATCATATATGTTCATCAGCAATGGGTGCACGAGTCATTATTCCCAGCTGGAAACACTGAAAATTTTGTCTGTTACAAGCTGTCTGTGGCTCTTACCCAAAGGTAATCCCTTGCAGGTGTGAATTATCTTTCTCAAATGAAGATTGGCTTCTGTGGACAGGTAAGAGTTCTATGTGAGCAAGAGGCACAGTGCAGCCGGTGACCTGAATGTCATAAACATTTTCTAACTGGTCTGAGCTGATTGAGGGTAGAGGCAAGGATGCAAAGCACAGAATTACAAGAGCAGTTCTTCATTCATGAACATGAAGTGTCCCATTCAAATCAGGGCACACTGTGTTTAACAAATGGCTCTTATCCCTTTCATGCATCCATATAAAACATGATTTGACCACTCACCACATAACCCACATTCATGCTGCTATTCTGGAAAACAGCAATTAATCTATGGTGTCCACCATCCAGCTGATTCTTTCTTGACTTAGGCGTCCCTGAAGTTGGTCTTGCTACAGCCACTTATGCCAGAAAACTGCAGTGTTTTGCCAGAGACGTTGAAAGTACTGGGATTCTGATGTTATCTTCATAGTCCAGAGGCATTTTTCTTCTTCATGGGTGGTTTTAAGATTCTGAGAGACAAGATACAGGATAAGAGGTGGGGGCTGTCCTCTCTGCAGTGAGCTGGGGCCTTTCACTACCGTGAAACTGCGGTTATGTAGTACACAAGGTAAAGCAAGTCTCTCTTAAGGAAGCTAGTGTGAGTTTATACTATTAATTTAATACAACTTCAATCTACAAGGCCTAGCTGGGGCAGCTGCCAGATTCTCCTAGGAGCAGCCTGGAGACTGAGGCAGAAGCCTTGCCTGCAGGGCTCAGTTTTGACAGGGACTGTAAAGAGACGCTGGAAAAAGGAAGTACGGAAAAGAGCTCATGCTGACTGAAGTCCGTGCTGGGGAACGAGCAAGTGAGAGCGAGCTGAAGCCCTGGCGAAGTGCGGCTCATCGGTCACACGGCTTTCCCACTGGGCAGGGCAGCCCACCCCTCCGCCGCTGCATACATTCAGAGCCCTGCCCTGCCCGCCCGGACGCTCCCGTCCCCAGCCGTGAGCGGCAACGAGCGGGCCCCAAGGGCGGCTCTGCCTCCGCCGCTCCCTCCCTGAGGGGCGCGGTCCCGCCCGCCGGGCGCTCGCAGCGCGCACGCGCGGCCGGAGCGGCGGAAGCCCACGGTTGGTTCCGCCGCGTGCCGGGGCGGGGGGCGGCGCGCGCGACCCCCGTTCGCGCGGGAGCGGCGCGGCGGGCGGGACGGGACAGGCCGGGACGGGACAGGCCGGGACGGGACGGGGGCGGCGGCACCGGCACATCCTCGGGCACATCCTCGGGCACGGCCCCGCCGCGGCGGGCCCCCTCCATCCCTGCACCTCCCCTCCAGCATTGCTGTGCTCTGTGCAGGGAGTTGGTAGGGAGAGCCTGGGCAGACTTGCCGGGTACCTCCCCAGCTGTGAAATAAGGAAATGGTGCTGTCGCTTTCGTGCAGGTCCAGGGTGCTGGTTGCCCTGTAGGGGAGGAGGAGGGTGTTCGCTGGTAGTGAGGTGGTAGGAGAGGCACGAGGGTTTGATTGGCTGTGTGTGCCAGCAGCACAAGGAAATGCAATGGCCTTGGCGTCCCTGGGTTTCGCACTTTCATTTCCCAGCTCTAGTAGTTAGATGAAATAGCAGGTCTTCGTTCGCCTCAGACTGATGGTCCAAACAGCAGTGTTCTTAAAGAAACGTACATTATCTGTCTACAAGTGGCTGGTCGGCAGTAAGTGAAGATAGTTTTGATGGACTTCTGATAATCAAGCCACATCCCTCTCCAAGCCCATTTAAATGCAGTAGATGTTTACAGGTATTCTTTGCTAGATCCTATCAATGAAAAGTAACTAGGTGGGAATGCCTTGCCTACCTCAACAAACCTGTCAACAGCCACCTAACAACTGCTTTGTGCCAAGTCTCTGCTGCAGCCATCTATTGTATGAACACGGAAATGCTGGGTGTGTGGGGTTTTGTCATAGCACAGATATGCTGTTGCTTATGTTAACTGGCTATTCAGATGCCTATTCTGTTTTATTAAACAGAGGTGTTGCAAAAAGCTTAATGACAATTTTATTCTGACACTTGGTAATATAAGGCGACTCCTTTAAAATCTAGTTTGTAAAAAGTTTAACTGATTGGTTCAAGTCCACCTTGATTTTTTTTTTTTCTGTTAAAGTGTATTTTTAAGTATCAGTAATCTTTGGCAGTAATTCAGATTTCAGGAAAGTCGCTGGTGTAAAAATGCAGGTGGATCCAGAAATTGGGGAAGGCTGTTGATTGTTGCTGCCTTGCAACAAGTTATCACAAATATTGTGATATAGTTGCCTCAGCTAGTTATCACAAATATGAGAAGTGTAGCTCTCTCTTACGTTTCTACTCTTTGTTATTTTTTTCTGACTTGCTTAGGATACAGCATTTTTAGAAAGTAGTGCTTTTTCCAGTCTCGAATTGTGTATTACAGAGCATAGTATTGTTCAGTTTGTGTGGAGTCTTAAAATTATAGTTCATGGCGAACCATACAATAAGTTACCGATCTGTTCTGTTCTGTTCTGCACTTGTTCAAGGATTTCTGAAAAATGTTCTGCAAGTCAGATTTCAGAAGTCTTACTTTTTGTAACAAGCACGGCTGCAGTGAGGCATAGTTCCTAGTTGTTTATCAGTGCAATACATCCATGAACATGCAAGAAACAGGATGTCCCCAGAGCTGACTGTTGTGCTTCTCAGAGTGAGAAATTGAGTACTGCTCATATTTGGTGTATTTATGAAATACAGTTTTCTAAGTATGTTTTCAGACATTCTTGGTGCACAGTGGTATACGTTTTATTTTTCTAAGGTTGCCCTCAAATGAGTCTATTAAAGCAATTTATATTTCACCTTAACATTTCTGGTCAGCACAAAACTTTCTTATTTCTTGGAATTGACTTTCCACCTGCCTGACTCATTCTGTGGTCTCATTATTCTGTGGATATCGCACAAAAAGTCATATTGCAGGTGATTGTAGTGACCAAAATACTGATACCATTGATGGAACTGTACAGAAAGAAAAGGGTTAGGAAAAATACTGTCCAGGCATCCTGTAATAAAATAAAGTTTTTTTGGAAGGTGAAGAAAGTAATGTAGGAAAGACACAGTCATGTTTTGGTGCACCTGAAGCTTTTCACAGACACAGCTACTGTTGGCTTTCAAATGATTTGTATTTGAGTTGCTTATTTAGAAGAAAGAGCTATAAATTAGGGCACAAGGGAAGAAAACCACAAAAGCTCTGACATTAGTGCTCTGTATTTTCTCCTAAATTATTTAATTGGAAAATTGCTTGGAGAATTTAATTGGTTGTATGAGTCTTAAGTGTATACAGATATAAATCACTTAATTGTTTCTCTCTGTTTATTTGTTGTAAACCTTCTCATTGAGTATTTTCTTTGCACATTGTAGTTTTTATGATCAGAAATTGCGAATTTTGAAGAACAAAATTATATGAGATCAGTTGTCTCTTTTTTTGGCACTCTTTTTTTGTTTGAAAGAGTAATACATTAACTTTGTTTGTGACTTAAATTTTAATCTAGTACTTCCTTCCTAGTTATCAGATTTTGAGCCTCTTATTTTTTCTTTATTCTTCACACTTTATATATTTATGAATGGTACATAGACCAAGAGAAGGAGGGGGAAAAAATCTCTTTGCCAAAGTAAGTCAATATATTGACATAATTTATTTGCTACTGCTGATGAAGTATAATGAAAAATATAAAACTTAGTTTAGCATTATAGGAAATGGGAAGCAAATATGTGTAACTGAAATACACTGGTAGTGGTGCAGTTTTGCATAGACCTTTCTCTGAACTCTTACATCCTATTAAATATATATTAAAATAGTGAAGCGGCCTAGAACTGAGATTTGAGGAATGCTAGTTAGAATTAATGTGTCAGTTTGGAGACAACTCTACTCATTAAGATGGGGTTTGAAAAGCAGAATAGAAAGTAACCTGTTATATGCTGCCTTTCAAACAAGTGATAATGGTTGTTTGTGTATCACGTTATTTTTTGTCTCTTTCAGAAGATGCAGAAGACAGATGAAAAATGACCCTGTCTTGAGAGTGAGGCCTGTATTTGCATAGTTCTTGGTTAATTCTGGATTTTGCTATCCAAGGTATGGTTTTGAGCATGGCTGATGTTTGTTTTGGTTTTCTAATTATAAAAGTGCATATGGTCATGCAGGCAAAAGTAAATTATTGAGGGATAAAGATTTGGAGCATATTTTCTTGATAGGCATTCTTACTGTTTTCTCCTGAATCCCTCTCAATGCTTATTGCTCACACATTATACATGTAGGTCACTCAGGAGCAAGTATTTCAGTAATTATATCTCTCTGTTTTGTTTGTTGAGCTGTTATTTCCCATTCTGAGGAAGTGCTATGAAGTCATGGGATCTCTGCCGCTCTGGTTAGGTGGAAAACAGATGGATTCCTCAGTGGTCAGCAGTGTTTCTAGCTACATTTGTGTTTTTTGGCCTCTATATTTCTATTAGTCTGTGTGATTTTCCCTTTGTAAATTCATGGTGATTACTCCCAGTCCCTTTCTTGTCCTTCATGTGTTTGAAAGTAGTTTCCAGGATTGTTTGCTTCACTTTCCCAGGAAGAAGGGTGAGACTAGTAGGCCTGTAGATGCCTGGCTCCTCCTTCTTGTCCTGGAAAACAGGATTTTCATTGATATTTGTTCACTTGAATCATCTGGAATGTCACCCATCAGCATAAAACTTCCAAATGCAGTTGAGAATGACTTCACGATGACAAACCCAGCTCTCTCAGCACTCAGGTTGGCACCTCAGCAGGTCACATGGAAATGTTAGGTCCAGTTCACTTAAAAATTTGTTAATCTGATCCTCCCTTGCTCAGAATAAGTCTTTTGTCCTCTACACTTTCCCACGCGTCTCAGGGACCTGCAATTCCAGGGGGCAGATCTTACCCATGAAAGAGCAAGATAAACAAGGTGCTTTGACTTTTTTATATGATTTTGATACTTTCAGCAGCAGGTTGATGTTTCCTCTCTAGCCTTCCTTATGCTGTTCCTGTACCTGTACAAATCTCTCCTGGAATTTCATATATCTCACCAGATTCAACTCTAGGATGATCTTGGTTTACCTGACTCTGTCCTAGTGCCCCTGAGTGGTGTTCCTGTGTCAATTGTATGCACACACTTGGTGCAGCCCCACTTCACCTTGGTTTGGTTGATTACAAGATCTGTTTTCCACATCACCCTGCATCCTTTGCTTGCAAACCGTGACCACCACTTCCTTGCTCATTCAGAGGTCACCACCTTCCTCTGTCATCATTCCTTGTTTAAGCATTCTCAAAGCTGATTAACCAGCCTCTTGGCAAAGATGCTTTTACCTCATGTAATTTCAGGTGGATCTTGTTCCCCTTCACCCTCAGTTTTTGAGCCTCATAGAAGGTTCTATGGATGCACAGCCACTTGCTCATTTGCAGGATCTGTCTGCTTTTCCTCAAGTTCTCCCCTTTCATCAGCAGCATAAATGGGACACCACTTGGCTACCAGACTTTGGCCAACACCCTGTTAACTGTGTAGTCGTGCTTGGTAAACTCCTGGTCTCCCCCAGCTGTAGCCATGGTGCCTGAATGGAAGAGCAGCTGAGGGTAATAGTCTAAGGGCCAGACTCCAGCCAGCCTCAGTAACACGATATCCAGGACCCAGGCCCCTGGCAAGCAGCATACTTTACCAGGTGACAGATTGAGCCAGCAGAGGTGTCTTTGTGGACCCACCATTGTTCCTTGCCCCAAGGATGTGTACTGCTGCAGGACTCGGGCACAGATGGCTCAGAGGCTTTCTTGGACAGAACTTCCTATCCATGTGTGCTGCCAGGGCTCAGAACCTGCTCTGTAGATCAGAGATGCAGGTAGAACAAGAACTGTCCTCTTGAAGCTGAAGCTCAGAGGCTTGACATGCCCGACTTGACAAGCTGAAGCTCTGTCTGCTTCTCCTCGTGTGGTGGGGGTTTCTGTAGCTGCATGAACTTGGTGGAGATCTGAATGATACTTGAATGGGAACACTGTTATGTTAGAAAATAGCAAACAAAGGTGATTAGAAATAAAACAAAAGTAGAAGTGTGGAAAAATGACACCTTGTTTGAGTCTGATTTTGATTAGACATCTAAAAGAGAAAGAAAAGAAGACAATGAAATTTTTGAATAGTATTTGTGAAAGTAAATTCTGAATGCACTTGAGGACAGTCAAATATGAAACAAGTAAGCAAAACCCTTGGAAACAGAGATGTTTGATAAACAATTTCAGTGCAACAAGTAGAAAGGAATTGAAAGAAATTATCAGAAATGGACAAGATTCCTGAAACCCAGAAATGAATGGGTAAGAGGGATTGGGATTTATGTGTGCGTTGCAATAATAAAATATGTGTATGAAAGTAGTCTGACAAAAAAAAAAAATAACAGTAGTAATCCTTTCCGTGGTAGTTGTGCGGAATAGTGGTTAGGACTTAGTGCTGTGTTGTTATGGTGATCGGTTTATGAAGCTCAGAAGTTCACATTAGTAGGACTGCGTGAGGTTTTTTCAGTCTGAAACTAACAGGAACCCAGCCCACTAAAGTGTAAGTATGGAAACCTTGATGTTTTAAATGTGATTAATAGAAAATGTTCTATTGTGTGATATTTTTAATAGTCTTTGTGAAAGACGTCAGGGTAATGGCTCCTTTCTCCGTTGGTTTGCTGTTAATGTCATGAAGGATGTTTTTTAAGCAAGGAAACCCTGAATTCTTAGTGAAGCTTTCGACTATTTTTGCATAAAAGCTTTTGGAAAACAACCATGAAATACAGGGGGAGACTGTAATAGGTGGGTGGGTTGAATCTTTGTGGAACATAAATAATTCCCTGTGAAGCTTTCAACTATTTTTGCATAAAAGCTTTTGGAAAACAACCATGAAATACAGGGGGAGACTGTAATAGGTGGGTGGGTTGAATCTTTGTGGAACATAAATAATTCCCTGTATTTCTTACTTGCTTTACAACCTTTTTACTTTGATGGAAGAGTTTTCTCTGTTGCTGCCACCTGGCCGACACTTGCTGCTTTATCTATTACTTAATAGTTTTCCCAAGTAGTGGTTTTACTTGCATCTTAGTGCTAAATGTTACTTTTTAGCCAGATATAACTAATTAATGAAATCATAAAATGTTTTGCTACCTGGTGTTTAAAAAATGTACGTGAAATGTTTTTAAATTTTTATGTAATTCCTTAAATCAAAAGCTAACAGGTTTTTTTGTTTCTTACTTGAATGTATAAATTTGAATGTATGAACCCTATAGGCTGCACTAGTTAATTTACTCTTTTTAAAAAAAATATTTTTATTATTTATCTCTTTAGGATTATCTTCCTGGGTCGTGACAATTCATTATCTGTTTGTGTTCAATGGGGCAACGAATTCACTTTGTGGTTGACCCTCAGGGTTGGTGCTGCTTGGGCCTAATTATCTTTGTCTGGCTGTACAATACAATCTTCATTCCAAAGGTCATCCTTTTTCCTCATTATGAAGAGGGAAATATTTCAGTTGTGGCAGTTTTGTGTAAGTAATTTTAACTTTTTTCTACTAATAAAATAATGTCTCTACTTAATATACATTAAAAAAATCCTGTCAGAAAATAAAAACTAGGGTGAAAGTAAAGACAAATAGTAAGATAAAAGGTAAGAGTAGTGGATGCGTCCTACGTTTTTGGGTTCTAAGAAGCTGCGGCACTTCATTTCACAGGTGTTACTGTATAACTTGTTTTTGTGGAAACTGGTGAAAAGCCTGAATGTAGCTTTCATGCCCTGTACTTACAACATGTTGACAGCATTTCAGGTTCACATCTGTGAGTGCCTGTCAGAATTTGGTGTGATAGTAGTGATGACTGGCAACAATCTAAATTTTGTTAGCTTTGTCGTATGTCCCTTTGTGGGTTAGTTTATACAAGTTTTGCTGATAGGTTTGCTGAGGAAAATCTTGAATTATGGCTGGAACAAACTTCAAGGTGAAGATGCACTATTGGGAATATCTTTCATATGGAGGTTTTGAGGTGTGGTATGTTGATGCTTATGTGATAAGATGGTAGAGGAACTTCTGAAAAACAGTACTATGGTCATAGTAGAACTGTTTACTACTTTTTTCACTCTATTTATTGGGGAGTACTTAATGTTGTGTACTTAATATCAAAAATATATCTGAAATGAGAAGGCTGAGTATTTTCCTGCTTAGTTCTGCAGCAGCTGTATTTTTTGGTATGGTGTCCTTTGCACATATGAAAAAGTCTACCAAATGCTTATTTATTTTTTTAGGTTATTACTTCTGCTCAGTGTTTTGTATAGCTTCATTATTTAGAGCCTCAGTAGCAGATCCAGGAAAACTACCTGAAAATCCAAAGATACCAATTACAGGTACATTAACTTGTTTCTGTATAATTGACTGAAAGTTATTTTAATATCCTCAAAATAATTAGGAATAAATATAATGGAAACCATAAGCTGACCCTGCTGGATAAAGTTAGTATGTCACTATTTTAAAGTTGTAAATTTCTAGCACCACTTTTCCTTGTATAGTTTCAAAACTTCTTTTTCTTAAACTACCAGAAAGTTCAGTTATGTAGGACTTTCTGCTAGGAAATTGTTCCACAGGATGATTTTTATTTGCATTCTAGACTTTCAAACATAATGCATATGCTACTAACTTGATAATATTTAATTAAATATGTTTATAAGTGGCTAGTTATTTTAATTTATATCTTTTGTCTAAGTAAATTTATATGATGTTGAAAATGGTGGTGGAAGGTAGTCCTATGCTGGTTTTTACCTATGTATTTTCTGCTGTTTTTTTTTTCCAGAGTCTTATAATTTTATAGACTGTTAACAAAAAAACCCAAACTATGGTGCTAGTTACACTGCATTTCTATAAAGCAGCAACTTAATAGAGCAAGTCCTTTCTGTCCTTGCAAATTTATCTCACAATTCCTGTATGGTATCCAGTGCTCCAGAAGTTGGAGGAAATTTAAAGCCTTAATGATTCTCCACAGAGAAGAACAATATTTTTATGAACTGTTGGGAGCTATTTTCTAATGCATAGGGTTTTTACTTAGGAGTTTAGACTGGAGTAGGGCTGTTGAACAGCATGAGCTTTGTCATATTAACAGATAACACTTCATGAATGAAGAAAATGTATCCCATCCAGTGAGGGTGAATTCTTCAGTCTTGTCTTCAAATGTGGTGAATGCCCAGAATAAAATTTTGCTCTCTTTTCCTGATGTTACTGAAAGTCTAGGATGATGTGTTTGGAAACATGGTCTTTTTAGCCATAGTGCTGATGTTATATATGATATGCATGAAGCTGACAGCTGATTGTAGAAAGAGGTGTACCTCCCTGGGATTCAGATGTGTCACCACTAATTGCAGAAGTTCTCATGCCAGTGTTCTTTCTGCTTCTGGCAACTGATCCTTTGATCCAGTAAAACATCAGGTATTTCAGACTTGCGTTCTGGAGTCAGAGTTTTTGCTGCAGGAGTAGCAACATGGATTTTGCAGTCTGAGCTGGATAGTGTAGACACGCTAGTTACAGACAGTTACATTTATATTGGAGTTTTCATTTGCCTTCAAAGTACCTGGAGCAGTGCAAATCCCCTTTGTACATAAATGTTTTCTTCTAATTTAAGGTATCTTTTTGCGTAGCTCTCCGAACTTTGCGTGCTCCATTCAGTCCATACTACAGTCATACTTACTTAAGTACTTCCAAAGGTGAAATATTTCGGCTAGGTCATGACTTTGATATTTTGATTTGGTGTGTATCAGGGGTATTGTACTTTTGGAGGTAGCATTTCAATTGTCTGGTATGCCCTAGGCTGACAGGAGGATAGATTTTTGCATAGTATGAATGGTGTTAAAAATGAGTTGGGGTGTTCCTGAACTCTGCTGGTAGCTACCCTATTAGTGAGTGACACCTTTGTGACACTGCATTTATGTGAACAGACTGTAAATCAGTTTCCATCTGTCATTAGTACTAGTTTAATGATCTCAGATATTTGGTTTCTTTACTTCCAGTGTCCAAATGTTATTTTGCAGCAAGCAAGACCAGATTAGAGCTGCCTGCAGGTGGCTCAGAAGTGCTAAATATATCTTTATTTTGTTTATATTGGGACAGTCTTTTACAGTATAAAAATTCAGAATGTCCTACTGTAAATATTTTTTTGTCCTTTTTTTTGCCTTCTATCCCTGAGATACGAGAAATTTTTATGCCTCAAAAAAGATTATTTAGGTAGAAAAAATTTGAACAGTCGAAGTATTTGTCAATTGTCCACCTGTTTTCCTTAAAGACAGAAAATATATGCTTTTGTGACTGGAATTATTTCTGTGTTAATCTTATAGTTTCCCTTGTGAAGATGAAATTTTTGAACATATAATTTGAATTTTCATTTTCAAAGAATTCCTCTAATTTGGTTGGTGCATTTTGAGATAAATAATTGCCAACCTACGCAATAGTTCTATTGGTACTTTCAGCTACTCAGTATCTCTGGAGATCAGCTTTTAAAGAATCTCACATTAGTAATTTAAAATTAGTATATATTTGTACAAGCCTCTCCTCTATGTCTTTCTTTGGTTGTCTCATATGTAAAATTGCATGTGGTGATATGCATGTCATTAAAATGCTTTGAGATGGAAGCTGCTCCTGAAGTGTTCACTGTATATCATATTTTAGCTAGCAGTAGTAGTATTTCCTCAGGAGGTTCTGGAATAGCAGTGAGATTGTATCTTGATTCTGTCTAGCAGATAATTTTTTTTACAGTATAAATGTAAGGAAATAATTGAGTTGCAGTCTTCCTTGTCTGAGTCACAGCTTTTTTTCTGTAATAATTACTTTGTAGAAATTTATAGGAAGAGAGGGCATTTTGGAGACAGAAACTGGCATGGAGTAGCAGTAATATCTTCCAGTTTAATTAAGATCACAGTGGGAAAAAGCTTTTTATGTGGTGCTTATCCTTCTCAGATCATAGTAAGATTTGTTTTTTTAATTATAGTTACAAGCATATGGATTTATTATGAGTATGCATTACTGAGTTTAAGTTTCTCTAACGTGTCTTTACATTTTCACCTAGAACGAGAACATTGGGAGTTATGTAACAAATGCAATATGATGAGACCAAAGCGTTCACACCATTGCAGTCGCTGTGGACATTGCGTGAGGAGGATGGATCACCACTGTCCATGGTAAAACCAGGACATTTTCTTCTAATTATCTACTGTTGTTTTAGTGAATCATTCTGAAATTTGTGGTTTTGACTGCTGCTCATTCTTCTGTTTCTTTCCCAGTGGTGCTTAATCATTTAGGCGTTTAAAGCAAGGAAGTAATAAATTTGAGCTTTTCTGTATCTACCAGTAAAACTCAGAGTAAGTGAAAATAAACATTTCTGAAAGTAGTTCTGAGATATAATTTTTACAAGACAAACTGCGCAGGACAAAATTGATGTCAGGACTCCCTTATGTTGGTTTAACCATTTTTCAAACTACCTTTTTTTGTCAAGTTTTTCTACTTCAGAGAATAGTACTAGTATAGTGCTTCTGTCATGCTGGCTTAGGTTGGTACTATTGTCTATGCCAATGCTTGTATGAAATTGCATCCATGTGACTTTTGATTTTGTACCTAATACAGATAGAATCCTTGTATTTCCTTGACTCTTTTCATGTTGGAGTATGCAGGAGTTTCTGAATAGGGATGCCTGTATTGTCTTCTGTGCCTTTGGTTCATTTTTAAGTCATATTTCTTTGTTACTGGGGTAGCCTGTGATCACATTTATTTTAAAACATATGTTTGCATTTCCATTTTGTTTGTACTTCTGTAGTTCACAACCTGTGAAATTTATTGAGTAGCAGAAGATAAGACATAGTACTGTGAAATTTTGCAGACTTTCAAAAAACAATTTTATTACTAGAGTTTTACTTAAAGTTGCAGCAGTATCTTTGCTATATAAAAATACAGAGAAGTGTGTCTCCTGTTCTAAGCAATGATCTCAGTGGCACAACGTAGGCTTTAAGTTGTGGTGCAAGGGATTCAGTCATTTGCTTCTTAAGCAATCATAAAGTCTTCTATTCACAGTATCATTCCTTTAGTATTTTTATTTTGTTTTTTACAAATGCACATTTTGTTTCTCTGCAGGATTAATAATTGTGTTGGTGAAGACAATCACTGGCTCTTTTTACAACTGTGTTTCTACACTCAGATCCTTAGTTCCTATACGCTGATACTTGACTTCTGCCATTACTACTACTTTTTGCCTCTGAAAAAAGAAAACTGGGTAAGAACCTGTTTTCTCTGTGAAGTGGACAAAGAATATTCCAATGTAATTTGTTTTGGCATCTAGTTATTGCACATTTTTGGTGGTTCAGGTTCACTCTCAATGAAGAGAGTTCAACTAGCTGTATGTTATTAAGCAAACTGATTTATGATAAGTAACAAAATATTTTTGTGAAAGGGCATTTGATTTCTTTGTGTTAAAAACACAATGCTAGTTCTCTTAGGAATCTAAGAAAGGAGGGAAGAACCAGTTAGTTTTCCTTGGATGTGATTATTAGTACTGGAAAGACTTAAGGTAACTACTTTAGATGTATTCAAATTTCCTTTTACATTTTCCAAAGTAGATTTATGCAGAATCTATATCTATCCTAATATCATGTTTTAAAAAGCTGATATTGCTTTTTTCAAGAAAAGAGAAAAACACATGGTCATTTTATAAGGGGAAAATATACATTGGTTTTGTAACAGTATTTTCTGTTGCTTTGAAAAGGTTATGTGGGTTAAGGGAGAATTAAGTTTGGTTTGTTTCATATGGACTATATATAAATAGTTACAGTATTTCCATGTCTTGTCATCAGTGAAAAGCAGTTTTATACACAGAGAAAGTGGACTTACCAACTGGACTAGAGTAAAAAATCAAGGACTGCCTTCCACTGTGAAACTTACATTGTAAAGCTGCTTTCTGGTGCTCATTTATGCCTATTACCTGTAGTATCCAGAATATTGAAGAAGATTGCTTGAAAGTTGTTCAGTGCTTGAAAGTGCCAGAACAGCAAAGTTGGAACTCTTTCTTTATAAGAAAACCATTATGCTCTCTTGCTTATGAAGAACCATAAGAATTTCTAGTTTAAATCTGAAATGAACTTTGTATTTCTCCTGGACTATAACAAATACAAGTACACTAAAGAGAAAAACCTAGAAAGCAAGTTTAAAACATTTTCAATATTAGGTAGCATTCCGAATGTCATAAGGGAATAAGATAATCTCAGATATTGCACTCTAAATTTTGTTGAGATTTTTTCACTGAGATGAAGAAGATACTGAGGTGCAGAAGATTTTTTAATTCTGTGTTGATGTGACACCCCAGCATGCTCTCTGCTGGTGATATCATACTCATCTTTCCAGGCTACCGGGACCTGACCCTTCATTTTGGGTAAGGCAAGTCCCATTTTCCATGTTTTTGAACAACTAAAGTTTGTAATGTGGTTTTGTCCTACATTATAGGAGAATTTCACTTTGTGAAAAATTCTACTTCTGGAAAAGGATGGGGCATAGTCTTCTGAGCTTCTTATTTGTTCCTGTGTCAGTCTGAAGTGGGTATGATGTTCCTATAAAAGTGTATGTGAAGATTATGTGGCAAAGGAGAGCTGAAAGTGTAGGAAGACTGTATTACTTGGATAATCCAAAACTGATAAAAGTGTACATAGATACCAAGCTTTTATTATGTAGAACATTCCAAAGTTGAGGATTTTTGTAACATGTTCTTGAAAATATTTGTGTTCTAAGGAATTGAATTATTTTTTTCCATCTACATCAATACTTCCATTTAAATCATTAAAGGGACTTTAAAATATATAACAGAAAATAATTTTCTGTCAGCTTGGAGCATCTTTCAAAAGGCACCGAAACAGACTTGTTAGCCTCTAATAGTATAATGCTGTGGTAGGATATTTCCTTTTTATTGTGAATATTCCCTGAATGTATTGCTTTATGTAATTAGACTGTATGAGGTAACAATCCAAAGTTCTGTCCGTTAGCGTTGCTTTTTAAAAGTAATATGAAAAGCAAGCAAATTATTTGCTTGAGGGTAGTTTGTGCAAGAGAGGGACATGGAAATCATGTTTACGTCAGATATTTTACAATACCTAAAGAGGTGATAATAAATAATCATTAATAATGATAATTCAGCAAAACAAGGATGAATATGTATAAAACTTGTTCTTGCCAGTAAAACTGGATTCATTTGAATTTTTTTGGAGAGAGAACTAATTTTAATAACTACTCCTTTAAGTTGGTATTAAGTTTTGACAGGTTAGAAGGCAGAATACATGTGCAACAATTGTTTTAACCCATTTTAATGTGTTGGCCTGAGGAGGGGATCAGGTTCCTGTATTTGGCTGCCTAAGCTTACAGAGAACTGTGGAAGAAATAGCTTACTTTGCTCTGTTTAGTTTTACCTGTAGTTTTTTTTGGCTATATCAATTTCCATATGTGAACACTTCAAATTAAACTCTCCCTTTTACAAAGTGGATTTGTGCTATAGTATACAGTATTCTGTGTCCCAGAAAGTAAACATGTTTATACAATATAGCAAAACAGTAGAAAGAGGTTTGGGCTGTTCAGACCATTGTTAAGTACAGTGTAACACTGGATAGTATTTAGCTTTCTCAGTTTTTCAGCTGCAGAACAGGAGAGCACAGTGAAGCAGAGAAAACTAAAATAGTTGGCATGCCTTGTCAATATAACTGCCTGGAAGATGACACCAGAGTTCCATGAAGCTGATTTTTTGAAGTGTTGCTAAGGATATGATGCTGTATAGATTTGTGCCACAGAATAGTTGTCAGAACTATGTCTTTTTGACACCAAATGAGCAGGACTGATGAAAAGATTGGCTTAGTATAGTAGTTAGGGTTTTAGGCAAGCATACTGCAAGATTCTTTTTATCTCCTATATATCAATTAAAGCTGAGGTGGCACAGCATTCCAGAGAGTGCTGTACCTTCAGCCTTTCACAAAAGCGCTGTTCTTTGTTGAAATTTTGGCTGTGACTGAGTGCATACATTTTCTGAATTGACAGGGGCTAGTGTTTAGAACAGATTCAAAGAACTGGATTATTTTTTTTCTAAACAGCCATCTGGAATAAGCTTATTCTTGCTCATTAAAATACTTGCGAATTTTTTTGGCAGTGTGCCTTCATCTAAATTTTTATTCTTCAGATATAAAGTAGTACAAAACACAAAAGCTGTAGAATTAAAATTGCTTTTGCTGCTATTGTGAAATAATAGTTTTATTAGAGTACTGATTAATGCATTATGCAAATTTGACCAGCATGTTAGTATCTCTTTCTGAATTAAAACTTGTGTTTTTATTTTTTAATGGTCAAGAAAGAAAACCCCAAAAATTTTTAATTAACTGTTCTGAGTTAAGGGTGATAGCTCTAAAGGTGATGAACGAAGCTGTTTCTGTAGAGATGAAATCTTTCAGCTTCACCTCTTACTGCAGAAAGTTGCTAAATAGTAGTCTTGGTTATTGTAACTTATACACTGCCAGAAAGTTAGGGTATGGTTGTTAACTGTGTTTGTCCAGCAGGAGGAGTGCAATTACTGCTAGAAATAAACCAGATCATAATTACATTGATTATGTGGGATGATAGCACAAGGAAAATACATTGTTTGAATAGAATCAGCATATTAGTTCTTCTGCAAGCTTTGGTGATTTTCAGAGGTTAACACAGGAATATTGTTAATTTTACATCTTTATGAAAAAATGTCAGGATGCCTGTATCCTTTAGGAATGAGTCAATCTTGTGAATAGTGAGATGAGAAGAATAAATACTAGATTTATCACCACATAGTTCTCTCTGTGGCTGTGCTGGCACAGATCCTGGATACAGCTGGTCAAATTGCAAAAGTAAATGCTTTGGCAGTATATTTTACCTTATTTATAGAAGGCTTTAATCTTTTAAGCAGAAGGAATTCTGCTGATATATTCTGTTTGCTAGAAATGTTGCTGCAGTAATTGTCAGCCAAACCTCCTGACATACAAAACTTAGGACCCTTTGTTATTTTGTTCCTATTTCTGCAATTAGAAATCATTGCTATTGACTTTGGAAAAGGATTTTTTGCAGTAATATTATGCACTGACTAATATTAATGAAAACCTGGAAATATGTATTATCCAACATTTACATTTATACTGTAAAGAGAGTCTAAAAGGAAACTTTTTCTCTGAGAAGCACAAAATTATGTACAGGATGGGAGAGTTTTTTAAAAAATGGAAACATCAAAATTTTCCTTCTCAGTGTTCTGCAAAACCAACCCAACCTTGCTTTCTTAGAGTATAGTTATAAGGACAGTACATTAATATTAAGTCCTTCCTATTTCTTCCTACAAAATCTGCCATCTGTATTTTTTAGTTTGCTTTCTGGAAAGCCTCTCTTTATTTTTGTATTATACACTGTTTTTGCAATAGCCAAGTTGATAGATTGACTTCATCAGCTGGCTGGGGCAGACATCCCAGGAATTTACAACTGAACACAGACAAGGACGTTATCATGTGTTACACAAAATAGTGTTCCCCAAGAAAGGAAGAGGTTTTCTTGTATACTAATCTCTATATTAATCTTGTATGTTAATCTCACATCTCTATTATGTGTGTCATATTTCAGTAAAGGATAAAGATTAAATAAGTTAATCTTGGTTAAAAATTGTTAGTTATTGAGAAGTTTTGATTGATTATAGTTCTGATTGATTTTCTCAGCTGAAAAAAAGTTCTTGTCAGCTTTGAAAAGGAATAATAAAACCAAATTGCATTGAGCTTTTATGCAAAGCTGCAGCAGCCTAAATATATTATTATTATCATTATCATTATTTCAGTTTTTATTACTATTACTATGTTTTTAAAAAGGTCTTTTCTTCTGTTTTCATGACGTTAAACATTTCTATTCCCATGTAGAATTGTGTAATTCATTCTATTATTGAAGTCTGTTCGCCAAAAACCTCAATTATTGCATATACTTTGGTTTTCTATAGAAAAATGTTATTCTGTCTGTACAGATTTGAGGGTCCAGTATTGATTTCCATTTCAGAATTGCTTAGGAATTCATTTGCTAGGGATGTGGAAAAAGAGAGAGGGCATATGGGAGGAATATAGGAGTATGGACAGGGAATGCAGGGATGCAACAAGGAAAGGCAAGGCCCATTGGAATTAAGTCTATAGAGGGATATCAAGGACCACAAGAAAGACATCTACAAGTATATCAGCAGCAAAAGAAAGATTAGAAAGATCCCCACCAGTGTGGGGATACTGCTGAATTTAGATGGGTAACCTGGTGACAGAAGACACAGAGAGGGCAGAGTGAATTACTGCTTTGCCTCAGATTTCACTGCTGAGGCTGTCCTTCAGTAATCCTAGACCCTGGAGGCAAGAGAGGAAGACTGGTGAAAAGAAGACTTGCCCTTGGCCATTGAGGGTTTGGTTAGAGGTCAGCTAGGCAGACAAAACCAGAAATCCATGGGCCCTGGTGGGATGCACACACAGGTGCTGAGGGAGCTGGCAGATGTTGCTGCTAAACCCACTGTACATCTTCTTTGAAAAATGATGGAAGAGAGGTGCCTGATGACTGGAGGAAAGCCAGTGGCACTCCCATCTTCAAAACTGCCAGCAAAGAGGATCTGGGAAGCTACTGGCCAGTCAGCCCCACCTCCATCCCTGGAAAGGTATTGGCACAGATCACTCTGGAGGCTGTGACCAAGCACGTAAAAGAAGAGAAGGTCATCAGGAGTAGTCAGGGTGGACTCACCAAAGGCAAATAATGTTTGACCAATCTGATGGCCTTCTGTGATGGTGTGGCCGGATGGGTTGTTGAGGTGAGAGCAGTGGATGTTTTCTACCTGAGCTTCAGCAAGACTTTTGACACGGTCTCCCATAAAATCCTCATAGATAAGCTCAAGAAATGTGGATTAGAGGAATGGACAGTGAAATGGACCAAGAACTGGCTGAAGGCAGAGCTCAGAGGGTCATGATCAGTGCAGCAGAGTCCAGCAGGAGGCCTGCAGTCAGTGGTATTCCCAAGGGATCAATATTAGGACCAGTCTTACTGAACTTACTTGTCAGTGACCTGGAGGAAGGGATCAAATGCACCCTCAGGAGGTTTGCTGGTGACACCAAACTGGGGGCAGTGGCTGATCCACCTGAAAGCTCTGCTGCCATTCAGTGGGACCTTGATCAGCTGGAGGGTTGGGCAGAGAGAAACTGGATGAGACTCAACAAGGGGAAGTGCCAGGTCTTGCACCTGGGCAGGAACAGCCCCAAGTGGCAGCACAGGCTGGGGCTGACCTCCTACAGAGCAGCTCTGTGGAAAAGGACCTGGGACTCCTGGTGGATCACAAGCTGTCCATAAGCCATCAGTGCCCCCGTGGCCAGGAGGGCCAATGTCATCCTGGGGTGCACTGGGAAGAGTGTGGCCAGCAGGTTGAGGGAGATGATCCTCCCCCTCTACTGAGCCCTGGTGAGGCCAGAGCTGGAGTGCTGTGTCCAGTTCTGGGCTCCTCAGAGACAAGGAGCTACTGGAGAGGGTCCAGTGGAGAGCCACAAGGATGGTCAGGGGTCTGGAGCTTCTCTCTCATGAGGAGAGACTCTGGGAGCTGGGACTGTTTGGTCTGGAGAAGACTGAGGGGGGATCTCATCAATACATAGGAAATATCTCAAAGATGGGTGTCAGGAGGATGGTGCCAGTCTCCTTTCAGTGGTGCCCGGCAACTGGTTTTAGTACAGTGACCATAAACTAAAGCACAAGACATTCTACCTCAACATGAGGCAGAACTTCTTTATACTGAGCGTGGCAGAGCATTGAAACTGCTGCCTGTGGAGGCTGTGGGGTTATCCTCTCTGACTCCAGTAACGATGTCTGGAAATCCACCTGGATGCATTCTTGTGTCACCTGCTCTAGGTGACCCTGCTTTGGCAAGGGGCTTGGACTAGGTGATCTCCACAAGTCCTTTTCAACCCTAATGATTCTATGATTCGATGAATTGGGTTTGTTCATCCTGAAAAGAGAAGGTTTCCGTTATCTGAGGGGATCCCACAAGAAAGATAATGTGCTTCTATTTACAGAAGCATGTAGTGGCAGGACAAGCGGGGATGGCCTCAAACTGACAGAGTAGGTTTAGATAACATATTAAGAAGATTTTCTTTACTCAGAGGCTCAGGAGGCACTGGAAGAAATTGCCTAGAGAATTTTCGGATGCCCTGTCCCTGGAAGTGTTTAAGGCCAAATGTGATGGAGGTTTGAGCAACCTGCTGCAGTGAAAAGTGTCCCTTCCACAGCAGGGAAGTTGGGACTAGGGTGTCCTTAAGGTCCTTTCCAATGCAGACCATTCTGTGATTCTATGATTCTATGTTCTTTATTGTTAAATGGTCTATCTAGTTTATCTCTCTGTAATGGTATTTTTAAAGGTAACTCTAGTTTAACATGGTTTAAAAGACTCAGTAGAAAATGCAACTTCTCTTGTGTATGCTAGGGTTTTCTTTTGTTGTGTGTTTGGTGATGTATTTTTTTCAGGCTGAAAATGGTGTTCCAGAGAAGGAACTCTTGTAAATGAAAGTTGCAGGAGGTGCTAATGAGGGAGTGTCATGCTAGATTCAGAATTTAACTTTGCTGTTGGCACTCTTATATTTTATTGTTTTCTGTGAAGTTGAGCTTGAATACATCATAGCATTTCAAATATAATAAAGCATAACGATGATATGAAGAAGTATTTTAAAATTAGTAGAAGGTGTGTCTTACCATGCTTTTCTTTAAAGCTTTTATTAGCTAATGGAAAGGGGAATAAAGGATAGTATGGCTGCTTTTATTTTGAGTTGATTTATCTTTGAATTAACTCATTAATGAGTAAGAAGCATTAAAAGAAATGGAAATTAATCTATTTTCTACAGTGGCAAGAAAGGCCAGTGTAAACAAGTGAGGGGAGAGGGGATGCATTGTTACAATAGTTCAGAAAAGACTGTTGGGGATTGTTTTTTGGTTTGGCTGCTTAACTACCGATTTCTAGTTGTTCACTAAATACTAAATACTTCACAGCTTTAGTAAGTAGTTTAAACTTTTTTCCTGGGTTTATATTTTGAACCTTCATGGAAATTATTTAAATGAAAAATTAGACTTTTTTTTTTTTTTTTTTTCTGCTTAACATAATTTGTGTTAACTATTCTCTGTTTAATTAAAACCCAATATTCTGCTCCCTCAAGTTCTAGTGGTTGCACATAAACAGTGTTGGGGGGGGAGGGGGGTGGGGGCTTATTGTTGTTTTTTGTTGTTGTTTTGTTGATTGGTTGGGGGATTTTTTTTTTTTTTAATTCAATTCTCTTATATATTCTGGTTGTAATATAAAGTTTACTTGGAAGGTTTTAATACTTTCCTGCCATGGTCTAACTTTAGTAAGTGGAAAAACAGATGTGTATATTCAAATGAAAGCCTTGAGAACATAATTGTAACTTAAAAATAAGAGAATGGGGTCTGAACTCACAGTGCACTTAATGTAACTACCACCTTATATTTATCTGTGATAAACATAAGGTGCTCTATCCTTTTAAGACATTACATAACATTCTGTAATCCTTGTCTTATTTTCTGGTGGTTGAGAACAGACTTTCCAGTGCAGATATCAAATACATCCATATTTTTGTGTGCCCTGAAGCATCTGTACTGTTCACCCTTATCCAAAGTGGCAGTAATCTGCTCGAGGCCAAAATTTAAAAGTTGGAGATACGTTTCTATTGGATAATAGACAGCACTACAGTAAGAACAATTCAGTATAGGTACTTCGACTTTGTAGGTACAATTTTCAAGTGTTGATCTTGCAATGTTTATTTTCTTTCAGAAGAGGTGATGTAAAAATGAAATGTGCTGTGCCTGGTGGCTGAGGTATAATAAATCAGACCATTTAATGGAATAGTTTTCCTGTATTATATAGCTTGTGTGTAATAGTCTGGCAATAATAGTAATAGTTTGAGATGGAAGATTTAGAAATAATCCATTTGAGCTTGATCTATTCCCAAAACCTCAACTACTTGAAGGAGTTTTTTTAACAGTCTGGCAATATAAACCCCCAACTGTTAACATGTATAAATAAAATATTATTAGTTTCTGCTATTAACACATAAATAAATATACCAGCAATGTGCAATGTAGCTCAGAATTCAATATTTGCCTTCAGCTTTAAGGCTTTGAGAGCACCTCTTACATCTCTTTCTGCTATTTTCAGTTGGTTCAAAGACTTTAATTAATTTGTAACTGCTAAAGTCTCTCTTCTTTCTATCTTGTTCTAGGATGTGTTTGTATTTAGACATGAACTTGCTCTCCTAAGAATATCTGCCTTCATGGGTCTAATAATATTAGGTGGAATAAGTCGACTCTTTTACACTCAGCTAGTGGGTATTTTCACTGTAAGTATCTAATTTTAGAAGTATATATTACTTTTCTTTTCAGTACAATTAGTCAAAGCAGAAAAGCGGATTGCATTTAAGGGAAGACTATGAGGCACTTGTTTGATACATGGTCTGTCAAGCCTTTGGACACTAGTGAAATCCAAGAAGCTTTCTAACAAACTAGTGTCTAATAATTACACTTTCAAGAAAGTTTCGTGATTTGTATTAGTAAAATAGACTCATGCCATATCCTGGCATTACACAGTGTACAAGATATGAAGCTGATTCTTGTTTTTATTTTAAACACTTGTGAAGCCTTGTCAAAATTCACGTGACAGTGAGGCTAACTGATAAATCAAATTTTGAGAACACAGCATCTTTGTTAAGTATTTTGATAAATATGCTTATGTTCATGTCTTTATTTGCTAAACTGTGGAATATAATTGTGCTGTTTACAGTCCAGATGGGTATTCTGCATTTAGATGTACAGAAAAAAATATCGTCTGCATGGAAAAAAAATTCAGTTAAATTAATTTGGTAATGTAATAAATACTTACAAGAAACAACCTTTTTTTGGTGTAACATCCTGTTCTGTACATTAGAAGTTAATAGCTGCCAGCAAATTTGTGAAGTTATCTTGAGAATCCATAAAAATGTAATATTGTTCAACATGACAGAGAGAGTGCATTAGTTTGCTGTGTACATGTTGAAAGAGTCTGTGATGTAGCCTGCTGAACCTTTTTTAAAGACAATAATGTACAAGATGGCAGCATCTTTTTGATGCTACAATGTCGGAGATCTGCCTGAGATTTTACTTCGGAATTATGAAGATTTGCACAGTATTAACTTTTGTAAGTACATAATGGAAAACCTAACTGTATCGTGTAATTCTTTTGTATGTAATAAAGGAAAAAAAATTACAGTGTAGTTTTAAATTATGTTAGATAAAGCAATAATACTGCTTTTTGGTTTTACCTTTACATATTTACTGCCTTTTGCTTTTCCTGTCATGGTAGTTATACTATCTATTATTATTACCATCATTACTGGCTATTATTACTACCATTCTCCAGCTACTATACTATATTATGTTCCACATGTACTCTTAACCTGCAGGTCAGCAGATTTACCTTTGTGCACCTTTACTGTGTGGCTGATTTCTGTTCCAGGGTCTTGCTGACATGTTTTCTCTTCTCTGTTTAAATGTTGCCTTCATGTCTGCATCATCTAGAGCTGGGATGTTTTTCTGTACCACCACTATGGTGGCTATCTGGCTGATGTGGTGAATTCTGCTCACCTGTAAAAGGTGAGACAGAGACAGAAACTTAGTGAGCCTAATTGTTCAGATAATGAAATATGAATGTTGTTTTAGTTATCATATATACTATGAGTGATTTATTTTAAAAATATGGATATTGATCTAGTACTGATATCCAGCTGTGACGGACGAAAACTCTCTAACAATTTAAAGTTAGAAAGTGTATGTTTATTCGATGCTGGGCAGCGTGTGGGATAGCTCCCAAATACACACTGCACCTTCCAGGTGATTACAGAGTCTTTTTATCCATACAAGTATTGAATACACAAAATACAAATACATATTCATAATTTTGGTACATCCCATTCCCCGCTTCGTATGCTAATCACTCCAAAAAGCTATTAAGCATGCGTAGTTTGTCCCTTGAAATGGGTCGGTGTCCCTTTCATGGGGAGGGGTCCCAAAGTGAGGAAGTAAATGAAGTCTTCTTCGTTCTGACCTTTCTACCTTTTCAATGCAAATATGACAAATGAACTCTTGGTAGAACTCCCATTCCTTGTCTTCAATTGGTTTCAGAACAGAGGAGGCCCACAATTGTCTTATGTTCCTAAAAGCTGTTTGTCAGTTTCTATGTTCTTCATTATAAACCCAGCTAACTAAACATTGTGCTGACAAGCAATTAATTATTAGTTAACTACTAACTCCTAACTTCATCAAGGCTAAAATAATTTATTATTATTATTTTAATTAACTCTAGTAAGGCTTATTTCTAACTAAAATCTTGGCTCCTCTAAAATCTCTAAATTCCTTAAAGTTTACGTTTCATGCGAAGGATATATCTATGAGAAGGATCAGAAAACCCATCTGATCAGTACTACACTAAAGCACAGAAGGGATAATGAAGAAAACAAGGAAAGCAGACCCTAAGTATGATTTTGGTCTGTATGCTGCCAGAAGCTGGACTAAATTTTAGTAGTGACCATCAGCATCCATTCAGGTACTATTACTGGATGTGAAATAAGACCTCTCAGACTGAACCTGTTTCTGTCAGATATACCTGAAACCTGGGCTGTTTCTGTTCTGACACAGGATACCAATTGCACTGCCACTGTAACAGGCACAAATGCCCAGTTGTAAGTTTGCTGTCCTGAGCCTTAACACTTTCAGGCTGCTGCCACCACTGCACTCTATTTATAAAGTGCTGCCAAGTCTTTTTGTCTCTGTCAGTTGTATAGTATATTGTGAAGCACATCCTATTCACTTACTGAGTTGGCAGCTACACTGGAACAGGTGTGGGGTAATAACATTTTTTACTCCAGTTTTTCTGCTGAAATCATAATCGCTGAGCTGCAGCATGCCTGGGCACTCTTCTGTTGTCTTTGCCAAGCTTTGTGAAGCAAACGTACTACAGTAATTGTGGATGTGGATGGTCTATGAGAGGTAGATGCTAAAAACTACAGATATTTATTAGGGCCTCTCACTGCGCCCTACGTATCCCCCAAAAGTAGAGGGACTACTGTTATATGGACAAGCCTTTAGGCTTGATGGGATTGCTGGGGAAGTAGAAAGCCATTACAGGTCTATCTCCAATCATTAATTAATTCACATCATGTGGATGGTGTTGCATTGACTCACTGAAGAATGTAGGTCATGTAGTCCATCTCCCACTCAGAGCATTTCATAGCAGCAGCACAATTGTCTTCCCCCTTTTCATTCCTTTTTTTGTAAATACAGAATTAGGAAGAGTAAATAATACAGTCATTTTGAGGAAATATGCTTGGCAACAATCAGTCAGACTTCAAACAAACAAAGCAAGTCTGTTTGTTGCAGTTGTGCTTGGTCTATAAGTGGTGTCAGAAATTTTTTCGGTGCAAATGGTTTTTGCTTGCCAGCACTGTAGTGTTGAGTCTTGCTTCCTACAAAGCACTGAAGCTTTGCCTAGCAACTGGAAAGGACAGAGGAGAGGGCAGCAGGTGAGTTAGTATTTTCTCTGCAGGCTCCCAGAATACATGCCTGTAGTGGTAAAGCAACAAAACTGGTATACCCACCCAGAAGCTGAGCGCATTGAGTATGCAAGGCATTCAAGCCCTGTAGAAGCATTGAACCATGAACACAGACGTTTCTGCTATGTTCTGTGCTGGAGTTACTGTTCAGCATTTAGCCTTCCTGTGTAAATTAAGCAAATGGTATCTGAAATGAGCTCTATATTAAATACAGAATTAGTGATGAAATTAACTTAGTATAAAGTATAGATCAAAATTTGATAGCAGAACGCAATCATTAAAGTGTGATAGTGCAGAAAATGACTATGAAACAAACTAAGATGCTTGGAAGTATGGATATACAGTTAAAGCATTCATGTCATATGAATTGCTCCGTATCTGTTCTTGGAAGTATTAATTTCAATGATTGCTGAACCTGCCTAGATATGTGTGCAAGAGACAAGAGCATGGACCTTTTGAAAGAGGCAAACTCTTATGCTTGCATGGGAAAACAGGTAATACACGTTCTTGTAGTTCACGCTCTTGTGCCTCTTTTTGCAGTTTAACACCTACCAAGATTAATTCCACAGCTCCTGGGAAAAAAAGCTGGTTTTAAATAGTAGAGACAATAAGTGTTGCAGCTCTGTGATCTAAAGTTTGCTGAATGAGTCCAGCAGGTTAACATTCATTGGTGTTTAACATTGCAACTTCTGCAAAAACTTTTGGAAAGAAAGATAAATCTAAGATTAATCAAACTTTAACCCTTTTGTAACAAGACATGCTGATTCTCCATTACATAATCATTACATAATTTTCCAGAAATGAAGCCAATAGTTTGTGTTGCATCTTAGAATATAAAGCTAGGGCCCATTTTTTCAAGGAATATTGGATATGCTTATTAAAAAAATCCAGATTCTTGATTTATATTTACATAGGTTTATCCTTTTTTTAAAGCACGAAGATAGATAAAGTTTAATGTATAATAAATTTGCATGTGATCTTTGTGTACATTTTTAGAAGCAGAGTTACACTCCACTAGAATCTAACACTAAGTGCTAGATTGACAAACCATAAAAATGAGCTGAAGTTTTTCAAAGGTTTTCAGAGGATTGGCATTTTCTCCTCTTTGATATATATTTTCAGAAGTCATAAAATATCTGGCTGAATGCATAAATATCCTCAATCATGTTTTTCTGGAACAGGGCAGTAGCTAAAAACAGAAAAGCAAAGCAGCACAGTATGAAGTGCAGGTGAAGTATTCTGCCATGTGTGCTGGCACTTTGCAAAATCCAGGTTTGTTGCACAGTTGACTGATCTCTGCCTGTCATTGTGTAACTCATTTGGTATAACAGTAGATCAATTTTTAAAAAGGTATTTAAGAAAAATATGCATATATTCTCCATATGTGTGTGTTCTGCTGTTATCCTGCTTCATGTGTGTTCAGTAAATGGAAAAAATGTGCTCTCTGGTAAAAATGAAAACTTTGTGAGCTGTGTACTAAAATTTGTCTCTTACAGGGAGAATGTTCTTGAGACTCTAGTGCTTGATAAGGTGATTAATAGTCTAAGTACCTACCACACAGTAATTTCTCCGAGTACGTTTGCCACCACTGTGATTGCGGTATCACTGTTATGGTATCATTAGCACAAGGCTATTCATAACTCATTTGGAGGTCCAGGAAGCCAAAGAGCAAAGGAGGTGACTTCCTACAATGAGAGGAGAACAGCTGGTTGGCAAAAACTGTCCTTAGAGGAACTTCTGACATGAATTGTTCTGAT